CATCCATCTATCCATCCATCCATCCATCCATCCATCCATACTGTGCTCAGAATATGTTAACTATTTTTCACCGCTGTATTGGTGTAACATGTTCCAGGTTGGTGATCCTCATGAAAGGCTTGTGGAAATAGTGCAGCTGCAGAATACAGGCCAACAGGAAAAAGCCAGGGATCACTATACTGGTGAAGAGTTCCGTCAGAGCAAATGTCTCCAGACCGATGGCTGCCAGCCTGAGGAGGACAGGGTTGTACAAAAGGATTTTGGTGGGGATGGTGTTAGTGCTTTGTAACAGAATGTGAAAGATTTTTATTTATGTTTGTTGTTTGTGTTGGTTTTTTTTTTTATCTTAATCATTAAAAAAACAGATTGCACCAGGACAGAAGCAGAATTTACTTCGCACAAGTGGTACATTTAAATGACTTTAGCATCTAACAACAACAAGCAAAGTATTTCTTTTCAAATTACAAATGTTTATATTGAAAAATCGGTGAAACATATTATTATTATATTATACACATATCTATTTTTTTGCTCATTTGAACCGAAATTATTTAAGGGAAAAGTACATACTGTTCTTCTGTAAAGCCAGTAAAGTTTCTCCAGTACTGAGGGAAGTCTTCAAACTGATAGGTGTAGATGGCAATGAGAACTAGCATAGTGTAGGCCACAACAAGCCACCAGAAAAGCTTTAGCAGACGCCTCCATAGAGAATAGTACACCTGGGAAACACATGTTCACATAACTTTGTCAGAGATTAGTTTCATACAGTGTCAAATTTTTATGTCTCTACATAAATAACTCCTCATCTCAGCTCAAATCTACAAATCACAACTCCTGGAATGTAGATCACAGGAAAAAGGAAAAAGACAATAAAAATAAATAAAAAAATTGAAAGCTATTATATAACAATGTAAGTAAACTCCATGTTAGACTATTAACATTATTTTGTTAGCAATAATCCAGTGCAGAGTTAAATGACCCCAACAATTTTTATTATTATTATTATTATATTATTATTATATATTATATTATTATATTTCTTATTAGAAATTTCCACAGTTTAAAAAGCTTAATGCGCTTTATTCTGAAAATACATGTCGTCTGCAGGTTACTTATGTTTACTAACAGTATATGACTGGGATGTAAGTTAAAGATCTTGCTTTAGAACAGTACTTTAGAACAGTACTTCTCAAATTGTGGGGCGGGCCCCCCTGGGGGGGTGAAGTGGGAGGGGGGGGCGAGAGGGGGTTTAAATGGAATATGACTTGCATATGGCCATGAATGAATGATCACATGAATGATAACAAGCCTCCAGCCACTAGGTGGCAGCAACTCATACAGCGGTTTGTACAGATAAAAATATACAAGTTCTCAATAGTATTTCAATTTGCCGGGGTCAGGGGCGTGGACGGAAGGCGGTGGATGATCCTACCTGATAGAGACAGAGGCAGACGAGAAACAGCAGCATGTAGATGATTTTATATGCAACAAGTTTCCCAGCAAAGGAGACCATTATGAACATCCCTCCACACACGTAGATCCAATATTTGGCGTGACAGCTCATCACCATTGATCCGAAGACTTTCAGCACAGATTCATTACCTGCGCTCTCTGCTGAATAAGAGAGCAAAAACAAGGTTTTTATTAGCACACAGAAATGCTTGTCGGAAGATAATGTACATATCTCGATTCCAAAAGAGAAAAATAAAAGAGATTCTTCAGCTATGATGTCATTTAACGCAGAGGTTCACCAAAGTGGTGAGGCGCAATGCCATTTCAAAGGGGGGGACCAGAGGGGACATGGATGGAATGAATGAGAGAAAGAAACATACACAACATATTGTCCAATTCTGTAAAGGTTAAACAAGAGACTGGCAAAAAAAAACGGATTGGTTGAAGGCGGTGTAAAATGAATATCTGATAAGGAGCCGGACTAAAATGTCTTATGAAGTGGCAAAGGTGGGACCAAGTCATTGCTTTGCAAGTCACAAGTAAGTCTCAAGTCTTTGCACTCAAGTCCGAGTCAAGTCTCAAGTCAAGACAGGTAAAGTCCGAGTCGAGTCCAAGTCAAGACTGAAAAGTGTCAAGTCAAGTCCCAAGTCCTGCCGTTTCTGTTTCGAGTCTTTTCGAGTCCTTTTAAATAAAATAATAATATCTTTACACAGATCACTTTGGGGTTTTGGAGAAATTGTCAAGTCTTGTCGAGTCAAAGGGCTCAAGTCTAAGTGAAGTCACGAGTCATTGATGTTAAAGTCCAAGTCGAGTTGCAAGTCTCTTTACATTTTGTCAAGTCGAGTCTAAAGTCATCAAATTGATGACTCGAGTCTGACTCGAGTCCAAGTCATGCCACACCTCTGTGAAGTGGGGCCCAGCAGAGGAAGATTGGAAAACACCGATTTAACGAATAATGATTCCCAACAATTACATAGCTGTTATTGATTTGTAAGTTATGTAATTACAGTTGTAGTATATAGTTTACGACAGTGTACAAATGTGTGCAATGCCGATGGGCTAGTTTACGAATATATCCGTAGCTGAGCCAAGAGTGAGTGAGAAAAAAGGACACAGAGAGGAAAAGCGAGAGAAAGACAAACAAGACAAAAACAAACAATACATAAAGGAATAAAGAATATAAAACAAATGTAAGAATAAACGTAGTACAAAGAGTATAAAAAGAAAACTGAATATTTAAACACACACACAAAAAAATAACAGATCTTTTTTTTTTTAAAATATAAAAAGAAAACTGAATATTTAAACGCACACACAAAAAAATAACAGATTTTTTTTTTTAATCCCCATACCAAAGCAGATTCTGTCTACTGCAGCTTTATTTAGAAAATGGGATTTAGTGTTAGGTGTTTAAGGTTTTGCAGCTGTAGTAGTTATAGTTGAGGTTCAGATAAATGCTATCCAGGAGAACCTTTGTTCATGTGTATGTTTATGTATGTGTAAAAAAAAAAAATGTCCCAGACCTTCAACAGTGACTTCCTGTAGTGGCGTGAAATCCCTTTTTTTTCTCCTGAAATTTTTCCTC